TGACCATTATTAAGACTACTATTAATAATAAATAGTAGTGTAAGAAGTTCCAGAAGTCGGCTATAGGTGTGTGTGTGTGTGTGTACACACCTGACTGGGCTGGTAGTGGTGTAACCAGCGCTCCAGATGGCTGCTGTAGGCTCCAGGCTGCAGGCAGCGGCGGTGCAGAGACAGCAGAGCTGCGGGGGACGACGGCCCTGCAGAGATCACCTCATGAAACGTGTGGTTTAGCGCCACAGGGTCCTGATGAGCCCTCTGATGCTACAGAGAGTGACAGAAGTTAAATTAAACCGTTGTAGTTTTCATTGGATGTGTTGCTATAGAGGAAGTCAATAATATCTGGAAAATGCTATCCATCAGCATTTCTCTGTCTCAATGGCAGTTTAAAATGTACTGTTTTCTCTAAGGCCCTGTTTACACTTGTGTGTTTTTGATTTAAAACGGCATTTTAATATGAAAACGATCCTCGTCTACACTGGCGTTTTCACTGCGTTTCAGAAACGATCTCAGTCTACACTACACAACCGAAAACGCATGTCACATGACCATTCGTGCAGGTACAACCATAGATATGTATAGGATGATGCCCGATTATTTAGATTAGATTTAGATTACGCTTCTACGTGCTTTGAGCGGTCGAATGGGTAATCTACCTATACATATTTATGGGTACAACTATGAGCATTATTGTTTATACGGTTGTCAAGGATACGCAGAGCGAATGTGGGCAGCCAAGCCATCGTTTTCAAAAGTCTCCGTTTTGGTCCGTTTACACTGAAACGCATCCCCGTAGTTTTCAAACTAAAACGGGGTCTGCAGCGTTTTCAAAAATCTCTATTTTCGTTGGGTCAAAAACGCCAGAGTCGTGTAAACGACAGGCGTAAACCATAGCAAAAGTTACGCGTTTTAAAACGAAAACGCACCAGTGTAAGCAGGGCCTAAGTTCTTTTTTGTTTTGTTTTTTTAATTTCCAATAGAAATAAAAGTCTATTTTACATCAGACCGTGTAGTTACGACATCTACCAGCAGGGGTTAACAGATTCATGTGAACTAACCAGCTAAGTTATACAAACGCACCTGGTACCAGGAATACGCGCGGTCAGCAGGGTTGATGAGTACAGAGATGATTTTGGCTCTTGGTAACAGGGCGGCTGCTCTCTTCGGGGCAACTTCAGTGTCAAAGTAGTTTGCGCTCTTCTCAAACAGGAAGTCTGTGCTTACGTTTGAGGGTACGGGGAAAAAATCCATGTACCTGAGACAAGACAGACAGAATTAACATTACACTTCTCAGACAAAAGGCAAATCCACTATCAATAAAAGATTAAGAGAGGAATTAACTAAGAATTATTTTGTTTATTTTAATGCATTTCATCGTGTTTGCATAATATTTGCTGAATGAAATCCAATAATTGTT